TTTGTATAGCTAAGTATATTTATGTTCAGGGGTTGTAATAAGAACACAGTTTATTAAGCAGACTGGAATAATGCGACAGTAATTTCGTCGAGTCTGTTAACGGAATTTCGCAGTGTGAATTCTGGTTCGATTAGATGAAGGCAAAGAAAGGGGACGATCAGAACTTCATTTACGCAAGTGCAGACGGGGCTCTTGTGCCTTCAAGTTATTTAAAATATATCAAGCTTTTGTGTACTTTTTCAATGCCGCCCAGAACGATCATAGTGTCTGTACGGCATGGGATGCTTAAAATACTGGCGAATCGGAACTCCTCTCGATTAAACCAATAGACAGAATTTTTTACTTGCCAGTATTTTAGGGAAGGGAAGGGAATCCTTCGGATCTATCCCTCATTCTCCATAGAAACTAAGGCGGAGATGCACAGTCAGTGCGGTGGGACTATACCTATACGATTAATGATGTCCCGCCTACTTCTACCGATACATATATCCGTTTAATTATAAGATTTGTACAAAATAAGTCCTTGTGTATTTTTCCCTTAATCAGTTAACTCAATCTGACTTTCCAGGAAAACAAAATTCCCTGGTTTAAAATGTTTAAGTTTCCATTTTATGCTACACTTAATAAATTGAAACCATAAAAATAAAAAATACAGAAAAGTAATTTTTTTTGTTTGTTTGTTTAAATAAATTTAAATGAAAAATAATAAACTGTCAGATTATTTCATAAAACATTTTACCTAAATCAGATCAGTGGTATCTGCTATACTGGAAAGAATCAGAGGAGGGGGGTCTCCAATTTTACTATTCGTGACTTGTGAAACGATGCCTTCGTAGAGAATTTTCTGATAGAAATTAGCTTGTATTTAAAAACCATGAAAAACTCAGCAATTCTATTTATCTGGAGTGAAATCCTGGTAGATTTATTTGTGTTCAGTAGTTTTCTCCACTCAGGCCACTGGTGGCCTCATCCAAAGCCATCTGAAAATAGTCCCTAAAAATATATCTTCTGGAAGCTTGGTCTCAGGTCTTTAAAATTATGATAACATGCAGAGAAGGTCAGTCAATATTCCCATAAAAACTTTTGAATGAGACCTAGTCATTCAATCATTCACTCATAATATGTGTGTTTACCGCACTTATCACAACAGTATAAATAGTTTAATTCATAATTAGAGGACCCATCTCTACTTCAAATGTGCAACTAAACCCTAACTAACTGAACTGCCAACATTAGAAACTCAAAGTATCCGAACCATTTGGCTCTTTCCAACCTAAGTATAGTAAGTGATATTTTAGCAATCAGAAATTTTCGTATTAATAAACTCAGTTTTTAAGACTGCGCTATAAGTCATGATTAATCTACGTTATTAAGTTAGGTTAGCAAATTTTTGTCGTTTTATACTATATGCAATATATATATATATATTATATATATATATATATATCAATATATATATATATATATTATATATATAATGTTGTATGAACTTAAATCCATTTAGTGCGAATACAAGTTTATTATTACTTGCGCAATTGCTGCAAAGTTAGTTAATAATAATTTATTTCCTAAACAGTATTGATTAATTGATTATATTATCTCCTAAGTTTAATTAAAGTAGAATTATTTTTAAAAGTGTGCATCCATACTGGTAAGTTAGCAAGATATAAAAGTAAGGAGGCTGCTAACCTTCAATACAGTAAAGTTTTTTGTATAAGAACTTTAAAACTTAAAAAGGTTGGAGATAATATATAAAGTGGGTACATTAGGTAAGAGATAAATAGCGCTAATAGCTGCTATTTAGCATATCAAATGTTGTATGAACTTAAATCCATTTAGTGCGAATACAAGTTATTATTACTTGCGCAATTGCTGCAAAGTTAGTTAATAATAATTTATTTCCTAAACAGTATTGATTAATTGATTATATTATCTCCTAAGTTTAATTAAAGTAGAATTATTTTAAAAGTGTGCATCCATACTGGTAAGTTATAAGGAGGCTGCTAACCTTCAATACAGTAAAGTTTTTGTATAAGAACTTTAAAACTTAAAAAGGTTGGAGATAATATATAAAGTGGGGTACATTAGGTAAGAGATAAATAGCGCTAATAGCTGCTATTTAGCATATCAAATGTTGTATGAACTTAAATCCATTTAGTGCGAATACAAGTTATTATTACTTGCGCAATTGCTGCAAAGTTAGTTAATAATAATTTATTTCCTAAACAGTATTGATTAATTGATTATATTATCTCCTAAGTTTAATTAAAGTAGAATTATTTTAAAAGTGTGCATCCATACTGGTAAGTTATAAGGAGGCTGCTAACCTTCAATACAGTAAAGTTTTTGTATAAGAACTTTAAAACTTAAAAAGGTTGGAGATAATATATAAAGTGGGTACATTAGGTAAGAGATAAATAGCGCTAATAGCTGCTATTTAGCATATCAAATGTTGTATGAACTTAAATCCATTTAGTGCGAATACAAGTTATTATTACTTGCGCAATTGCTGCAAAGTTAGTTAATAATAATTTATTTCCTAAACAGTATTGATTAATTGATTATATTATCTCCTAAGTTTAATTAAAGTAGAATTATTTTAAAAGTGTGCATCCATACTGGTAAGTTATAAGGAGGCTGCTAACCTTCAATACAGTAAAGTTTTTGTATAAGAACTTTAAAACTTAAAAAGGTTGGAGATATATATAAAGTGGGTACATTAGGTAAGAGATAAATAGCGCTAATAGCTGCTATTTAGCATATCAAATGTTGTATGAACTTAAATCCATTTAGTGCGAATACAAGTTATTATTACTTGCGCAATTGCTGCAAAGTTAGTTAATAATAATTTATTTCCTAAACAGTATTGATTAATTGATTATATTATCTCCTAAGTTTAATTAAAGTAGATATATATATATATATATATAACACTTTCGTATTTACGTATTGTTATCAATTATTGTTCATTGAACGGGAGTTGGTTTGTTCCCCTTGAAAAGTCAACTAATTTCCGATCAATGACAATAATTACATGTTTTAATTTTTACTTTTACAATTGTAATATTATTCTTCGTGATGATTTAACTCCAGTCCCCGTTAAAACATTATTAACATTTTGCTTTCAAATTACTTCAAAACATCTTTCAAAATATAACTTACCAGTATGGATGCACACTTTTAAAATAATTCTACTTTAATTAAACTTAGGAGATAATATAATCAATTAATCAATACTGTTTAGGAAATAAATTATTATTAACTAACTTTGCAGCAATTGCGCAAGTAATAATAACTTGTATTCGCACTAAATAGATTTAAATTCATACAACATTATATATATATATATATATATATTATCAGTACATATAAGACGTGGATGTCTTAGAATAAACACGAATATTTTATTATAAAGGTGGAAATTTCATTTATCTGTAGAAGGAAAATTAAAAAATTCTTACAAATTTGAAATTTTAGTAGATTTTACGGAGACATCAGGGAAATTTTCTTTTAATATGTCTGAAACTACGACCTTACATGTCTTTTGCCCATGGAATCCAAATATGGTTTGAAAATATTTGCTTTTTCGAATACTGCAAACTACAAGACTATCCAGCTAGAGAGCAATGCTTTCAGAGCCGAATTTAGATTTGATAAGGCCCTAAGCTATTTGAGATAGAAGATTCTTTATAAGTCTTTTATACTATATTTATACAATATTTTAATTCTTTTGGGGGCAGCCCAAGAAAGTCGGAGCCCTAAGCTATAGCTTGTGTAACTTATACATAATTCCTGCGCTTTATGCTTTCATGGAGAGCTCTGTGAAGGAAATTGGTCTGTATTTTATGCTCTACATGGAAGAAACCACGCTTTGAGAATAATAAGGAAGTCCTATTTTAATGAGGAAAAATTTGTGTCATAATATTTCTCACCATGTATTATATTATCGGTCAGGCAACAGACAAAATTAATCTTAAATAGGTACGTGTGTATTTGACGTGAGTAACGTACTACATGTAATATTTCGCTAAAAAAATACCGTATATTATCAGACTATTATCCACAGTTAATTACCTCTTTGCATATACCAGATGCAGAGTTTAGTTACAATTATGTCTCCGTAGTAATGAAGTTGCACTTAAAGATACGACACTTCATATATTAAATGAATTACATTCATATAAGCGTCTGAAAATCACCTTAAATTTCAAATCTCAGTATTAAAAATTCCCCACACTTAAAAGGTGAAATTTCAAACAAACTGGGATTAGCCAAAGTCGTAAATAGAATTATTTAGCGCGAAAGTAATTATTTCGGAATTGGCGACGGATGTGGCGAGGAGCAAATGCAAAAATCTGTTTATAGCGAAATTCCACATTTGCGCATGTCATTCTCAACTCTTACCTGTAAGTAGTAACGCATTGGTCATTTTGGTTATTACTATACGCTTGAATTCACTGACGTAGTTAGTTGCTCGTAAACTGTAAGTACGAGATTATTATTATTATTTTATTATTATCTTTCAGGAATCTTGAAATAAAACGCTTCAGATGTTTATTTGTATACCAACTACTTTCGATGTATCGTGATGTAAAATTTGATGGTAAACGAAAGTAACTGGTTCAAAATGGCGATTTAGATTACACATACTGAAAAATATTAATTTCTGCGATTTATATTTCAAATGTAAGCATATTTCGGTTAATAAATTACGTTCTATAACTTTTGACCATTTTGTTTCATGTGAATATCAGAAAATACGATTTTTGCAAAGAAAAACAGAAAGTGATTAAATAACCATATTTCAGGATCTTCATTATTTTCTAAATTCCGTTTAAAGTCTAAACTTTTAAGCAAAAAAGTATGATAAGTTTCACAACAAAGAAAATTTAATATACAGCTTAAGTTAGTAAATCTATGATATATTAACATATGCCTTTACCAATTTGACTTTTGAAGTGAATATACAGGATATTTCCTAATACTTATCTTTTTTTCAGCTGTTCAATATGAGTTCTTCTAATAGTGATTCGTCTACTTCTAGTAGCGAATCCGAAGAAATTCTGCTTGCAATTCAAGCGTAAGTGTTTTATATTTCATGTATAATATTTTGCTTTATGAATTAAAAATGCAATAAAAAAACTTGCTACTTCAACAAAATATTCCAAATGCCTTTTTGAAATTAATAGATTGCTTTTAATTTTGCTGGGGTCTTCATGGAAAGTTTCCATAATCAACATATTCTTTGAAATCTTCAGCGCATTTTTGCAGAGAAAGAAAAATTTGGATATTAAGCATACTTAATAACAATAAGCTGATTATAAGCTGGAATTTCTATCGCTTTCAGTGATGATTGACACTGTACCAAGATTTTCATCTAGAGAAAAATTAAACCATAAATGTAGTTTTACCCAACAATATTTAAATTTTCACATCAAAAATTTTCTTTTAACCCGGCGGAAGGCGCACCAAAAAAAGTTACTAGAACGGGCGCGTGGGGTATCACATACCCCAATATTTAAAATACAATAAAAATAGTATTATTTAGTTTTAAAACTCTTTTTTTTTTTTTTTTTTTTTTTTTTCTCGTGTATTATAAATAAGTGAATAATAATGGTTTCAAAAAATTAATTTCCGAAATAATCTTAGAGTTAAAATTAAGATAAATGAAAATAATAAACATCATGCCTCTAAGTTTCATTGCATCTCTATACACCATACTTTTTTTTATTTCTTCACACTTTGAAGGAAATACTTCATGTGTTCTGGCACAGAATGTTTTCACTTTTAAACATTGCATCACGTTCCTTCTGTCCTTGGCGCGAGGGCAAAAACTTAACACATCTTTCATACTTAGTTGTTTTAATTTCATGTATCGTTTTTAATTCTTCATCGAAATTTCTGCTTTTGTTTTGCATGCAGTACCTCAATTTCTTGGAAGTATTAAACTGATCTCTGTTCAATACTTTTTTTCATACTTGTAATGCTAAGTCCTTCAAAACAGACTTCTGTTTCTCGTTGTGGATTAGCAGTTGAATGTAATATAACAAGCATTTATTACAGCAACACATTCAGTGCAGGAAGAAAATTACCATTGGCCACCTTCTCGTTATTCTGGCAATGAATAATTGGCTAACATTTCATCCCCCATATCCACTGCTCCTTAGTCATATTATTAAAACATATAATTCCTACGTTTTATTTTCTCCATAGTATCATCTATAGTATGATCGTTATATAATGTTATAATGATCGTTATAAAACATAAGAACATTTTTCCTTTTTTAGGAACAGCAGGAATTATTTTTTATCTTTTTCGAACCAAAACATTGTAGAAAATATTCTTAGTTTCATCTTCAGTTTTCGAAATGCAATCTTCATCGCTTTCAAATATTTCTAATAAATCTCGAAGCCCACCAGCGGCCGAGCGGTAAAGTCGCTGAACACTGGTAGTTCGGTCCGAGGTTCGAATCCCGCGAACGGGCTGGCTGCATGGGCGTTTTCGTGGTTTTCCCCATGTGTAATGTGTATACAAGCCAGTTTCCCTTAGAAAGTCCTCCACGAAAGGCATCCCTCCCCTTAGGCAGATAGCCCTCGTGTGCTTTGCCATAATTAAATACACATACACATACATACTAATAAATCTCGCATGCGTTGCATCTCCAGTTCATAGGGACTCATTCTTTTTACCATAATGAAGTTAGAAATTTTTAAGAATTTAATGTCAAGTACTTTAAAATCACTTGCGAGTAGAAATATTTACTGTTACACTCTAGAAATAAATTTCTGAACTAAATATTCAGTAGAAAAACACTTACACGGACAGGCGTGGGGTGTGTCATACCCCAGTTCCAACAAAATACCGATAAATCTTTTTCTGAAACACACAGGCAAAGAAAAAGCAGTTCTGAAAGTCAACCACAACTAGAAACTCAGCTACTGAAAGCAGCACAGAATTTCAGTTTCACAAGTTTAGGAATATTCCACTTTTATGTAGGGTTGGGATATGATACACCCCACGCGCCTTCCCGCGAGTTAAACGTTTTAGATGAATTTCCAATATCGATGTTGATAGTACTTTTACATATAGAGAATATTTGCTTGTGCATTATCTTTTGCATTCTTGCTGAATATTTTTTTAAGTTAAATTAACATAAGTAAAGTTTTGTTATTACTTTAAAATGCATATTGTAGAAACTATTATTTGGGATAAAATTTTTTGAAGCTTGTAAATTTTCTCGCTTTTTTCCTGCCTTCAATTAATTTAAAATCGATGATTTTATGCATAAAATACACGCACACAAACATATAATTTTCTTATTTTTCATAAATTATTTAATGAATGTACTAAGGAATTACTCGGAGTCACATTACTGGACATAATTTCTATTCCATCACTGTTTACATCCCCAGCTAGCTAAATTACATACTGTAAAAAAAAAAAAAAAAAAAAAAAATAATAATAATAAATAATAATAAATCTGTAAGGTTACTAACTCATGGAAACTGGGATGCCATGGGTTATTTGAGTAACAGTAACAGGTGTATTCTTCGTAACTTTACAAGAATTTTGCCTGTAATGGTTACAGATCTTTTTCTTGTAATATCACAACATATAGTTATGTAGTAGAACATATTTTTCTCACGTAAAATCCCACGATATGTCTGTAATATGAGACACGATATGTCTGTAATGGTTACAGATTATTTGCGTGTAATATTACGGAAAAAATTTATGTAAAAAGAACATTTTTTTCTCATGTAAAATCCCAAACGATATATCTGTAATGGTTACAGATTATTTGCGTGCAATATTACAGCAAATAATTATGTAAAAGGAACATGTTTTTCTCATGTAAAATCCGAAACGATGTATCTGTCATGGTTACTGATTATTTGCGTGTACAGCAAAAAATTATGTAAAAAAAAACATGTTTTTTTCATGTAAAATTTCAACAGGTAACCGTTACAGGTTATTTGCTTGTATTATTACAGCAAGTTATTATGTGAGTAGAAGATACTTTTCTTACGTAAAATTCCAATGGTTATATCTGTTTCTGTATCTGTAATCTTTAGGTTTCAGATTATTTCCTTCTAATATCCCATTAAGTAATTATGTATGTAGAATATATTTTTCATAGATGAAATACTAAAGGATATGTCTATAAAAGTAATATATTTTTTTGTCTAAAATGATGCTTATTATGAATAAAACTATATTGAAATCAATATGTTTTGAGTAAAAGAAATGATATCTGTATGTGTATATATATACATATATCATACATACAGATATATGCAAGTGAAGCATAATAGTTTGGCTTTTTTAAATTAGCCAATATGACCTCAGAATAGCATTAATTTAAAAGATGTGCTTTCAACAGCATTCAATGTTCTTTTTCAAAAGGAAACATTATTCTGTTTCAGAGTATTTTTGTTTTATGAAGAGAAACTTATGTCTGATATTACTGAAAGGCCTTTCATATTATCATTTTGATTAATTTAAAAGTTCAAATTGATATGCTACTCCTTACATTAAATCACATGTTATAACATACTTAAAATACTACCTTTACATAAAATAATGGAAAGGCATCTGGAATTTATATTTGGCATGTAAAATAGCTGAAAACAAAAACAGTAGGTTTTATTTGCATGTTTTAGTGTAAATTAATAAGATATGTTCTAGAACTTCTTTTTTAGTAATTTTAGCTAAAATAGAAACATGTTGCTTTAGATTTAACTTATATGAGTAAACGTGTTGCATGTTCATATGATCATATTATTACAGTAAAAGACACTTTGTGAAATATTACTATGAAGAACTCAGAACAGCTGTTCTTCATGTTTAAAAAATATTACATTCTCTCCTTCTAAAAAATGGCATTTTCAGTAAATTAAAGAATTCAACACAGCAATGAACTCCTTTTGCTACTACAAGGAATTCAAAATTTTGTTCATACGCTTGAATTACAACGTCCAACTAATCTTTTTATTCTTATCTGCACTCAGTCTTTGTCAACAGTCTGCTGTTGTTTGAAATAATAGATGGTAAATGTATAACTTTTTTACCTTACCTTCAAATAATTTCCTTTGAATTAATAGACAGAAGTCTTTCATTAAAAACCTAATGTCATGCTTTTTGAATAAGCATGAAAGCTTCACCAACTGACCTTAATTTTTAAAGCCTTTTGCTTCCATTAAAATTCTTAATACTTAATACAATTATGCCTTTAACAGATTTATTTAAAAAATTAATACTTCAGTTTGGTTTAAAATTTAATGCATTTTAATTTTACCTGTAAATTTTTACAAACATGATATGTAATAAATCTAAGCCTAATATTGACCATTTAGTATAAAGTAAAAAAGTATTCCTAGTTTTTTAGAGATTTGCATACAAAATTGTGAAATAAACATGTGACAACAGAAAACAAACTTTATGCTCTCTCTATATTACAGCATGTTAATTAAGAAGTTTATTGAATTTATAATTTTATTGTGAAACACTATGAAGCAAATAATATGCTAATTGAAATACAGAAGTAAAAATAATTTATTACTTAATTCATAAACTTTACATTAAAAACCTGAAAAAAGAATTAATTAAAAAATAACACAATATAACATTTCATAAAATTTCGTTTCGACTGCTTGTTAAAAATGAATGGTTTTTTTCTCTTTGCATATGTAAACCATGCTTCCTAAATAAAGAAAAAACATTTCTTTTAAAATCATAATCATGCTCTTAAAAAAAGCTTATAAAAAATAATGTTAATAGATGTTTTAAACATGTACTTATAATCATATTTCTTTATAATATCTTAAGTAATTAAGAACAGCTTAAATTCTTTAAAAAATTGGATTACAATGATCCGTCTCATTACGACAAGCTACCTCAGTCAATCACTTTTTTAATTTAACCAGCATTCCTCATAAAATAACTAATTAGTAAACATAACTTCTCTAGGATGCCCACTATTATTGAAGATCAAAATCTTCAGGAATCACGTATAGCAAGCTTAGTTCATTGTACAAAAACAGCGAATATGCAAATCTTTTCATAAATGAAGCCATCATAGATATTAAATATAATATACAGTATACTTATATTCAGAATTCATAACTTGAATAAATTTCTAGAACTGTTCTAGCATTCGAAAAATATATTTATTACCTTAAATTTCTAAAACAATATTACATATTGGTCCAAATGAATCACTGGGACTCAGGCAACATTTCCCCCCTAGCTTTCATTTAGCACAGAATTCTGAAATTGTTTTAATGATTTAGGTAATGTTTGTCTTCTTTAAGGCACTCATAAAACGAGTTACCCTAAATTTTTCGTCCGCGTAGTGGTCGTTTTCATCTTACTAACTGATTTGCTAGTGGATTTTGGGTGCATGGCCTATCATTGATGAAACAATAATAGTGAACATCTTCAAGAAAATGGGGATATCTAATGCTCTTGATGCCATATTAACACTTATTTTTACTAATTTTATCTTTCGATAATTGAGAGGGGAAAATTAGGCGAATAATTTAATTGCCAAAGGACACAGTCAAAGTAAGAATATAACAATTTCTCTCATTCTCATTGTTGTTCTTGAAACTCCTTAGGCCTCAGATCATACATAAATAATTAGAGAAGGTGAATATGTAGCTGATATGGCAAAATTGCACAGTGAATGGCGGTTGGTATTTGCTTTCACTATCATAGATCATTTTTTGTATTAGGCTGACATAATATTCAACAATTAGAAGAGAAATGTTCAACGAAGCCTTTAATGTGCAAAAATTTGCCTTTGTTAGTATGGCGAAAACAATCATTATGTCGATAAATCCATTTTAAAATCTTGGGATGTTCCTTTTCTGAATGCATTAAAAAGGGGAAAATTATGCAAATATTTTTTAAATTTTCAGAATCTGGTTCTAAAGCTGGGTGGGATGGAATATGCAACGCAATACGGTAATTATGAAGATCATTGCTCGTGGTAGGACAAACGGAACGGTTATAACTTGAATACTGTATAAGACGACACAAATTGCAGTTCTAGATGCATTAAATGCTTTGAAGTCTAGGGAGTAGTAGTGGACAATAATAAGAGTGAAATTCAAAGTATAGGGAAGTAGGAATGAAAATTATTATTATCAGATACTGAAATGTTAATATTACTATTCTTACTGGAATGTAGGTTTATGTTAAATAATAATATTATGATAGTTAACAGTAGTTCATTCATAAATAATTTTGATTGGTTATGATCTTACTGTAATCATATCCTTCAAATTTAAATTGATTGTGCTTAATTTCCCCCTCGATTTTCATACTATAATATTAGTAAAAAGGAAGAAAAAAGTGTGCAAGTACACATAACTTCTCTTTCTCCCTCTATATCTATCTTTGTGTGCAACAACTAAACAAAACTAATGTGACTTTTTCTTCTTTAAAAAAATCGTGTTAATAAATAGGATGAGAATTAAGTTCAATTTTAAAGACTTGACGCATGAAATATACATGATCAAAATTATTTTTTTTACTTATAAGTTCATATCCGTGTACAATATAAAACTGAAAATTAAAATTTTTCAGTTTATAAACATCACATGTAAGAACAGGTACGGAAAGAATATAATTCTGTATAATATAATAACATTTGTTGAATCAAAAACTGCATGCCTTCATGTTCTTATATCAGTTTAGACTGCAATCGAAGCGAGATTGAAAAAAAGATAATGTCCAGTTCTTAGTTCTTAAGCCGACTATCAGATGTTAAGTATGAAAGAAAAAAATGAATGTTTCTAGAAATAAAGTGAGAGCGATCAGCTACGTTTTGTCCATAATAAAAATATGCTTTTAAGTCAGTTATGAACGACAAAGAGCATTCGACGAATATTTTCTTAAAAGCCTTATTGTAGATATGTACTTCCAGTTTAAAGTTTCTCAAAATAGGTCGGAAAATTTGAAACAAAAAATAAAAATTTATGTATAGCATAAAACGCTACGTAATAACAAAATCAGCAACAAAAAAAAAAAAAAAAAAAAAAAAAAAAAAAATTCCTGTATAATTCTTATATAACAAAATTTGAAATCCGTTAAATATTCAATAATATAGTATAATTAGTGCTTTTTTTGGGTCCAATTTTTAATTGTTTACTGATATTTTCTTCTCTTAATAGCTTTATTTTTTTTATTTGCTGAGGTTGATTAATATATATATATTTTTTTCTTTTTAACAGAAGTCGGAGGTTACAAATGAAGTATGTATATTTTATTATTTTTAAGATTTATGAAACATCAGGAAATCAGATCCGTTGTAACATTATTTGAGATTTTCATGCATATGAAATATTCCGGCTTTCAAATTAACTAAATAATACTTAAAAAACATTTGCTTATTTTAAAGGATGTAATTATTTCAGTATAATAATATTATAAACATTAAAGAACCTAAAGATTTAACATCATCGTATCTATGCTGTATTCTTATACATGTGATAACATGTTTTTATGCTTAGTCATTGTTTTGGTTAGATAGCCACGACCGCGTAAGGTCCGACATTGGTGTGATCAGGCGGACATATCTGATTAAGGATCGACATTGTTCTAGTTAGGTGGGTATTGCTGCTTCCACGTCAACGTACAGGTTAAAAACATCTACTAGCTAGAAAATATTGAAATTCTGAAACTAGCGATATAAGGACATGTCATTCAGTTTTAGCCTTTTGTAATGTTTGACATGTTTTTATGCTAGTGGGAATTTCAATATCAAAGCTTCCTTGGACTGAACGAAAATAAGCGCAATAATTTTTGTTCCCTTTAAGGTTGTTAAATTCTAATTATTTTCTTTTTCTTTCCCTGACCAGCAAATTTATTTTAGAATTAAATTTAAATGGAAATTGTTAAAAATAATTCCTTTGAGTCGTGTTAATTCAAAATTAAGCGTGCAAATACACAACTGGATTTTTATTTCCAAAAAATATTAAATCGCAATAGGGTAAAAAATTTTTATTTACAAACAAAACTAATGCAAGTAAAAATATTATATAAATATATATCCAATTATATAAATGCATGTAAAAATTTATATTATAATAGCAAATTAAATAAATTCATTAAAGTTATTAATACCTTCAGTCCTAACTATACATTGTAAATATGTTATGTTTACACTTGTTCGGATGCATTCCAGAAATTTACAACGGGATATGTGAAAAATATTTTCCCCCCAATGGCAGGCCTTCAACAACTTGGTCACTACTAAGGCCAGAAGTGGTAGTGACTTTATTATGGAGGCACCTGATAGGTGGGCTAACTTTGCTTCTTGTGAAAGAACGGACAGTTGCAACCACGCCTTCTCCGGAATTCGAACCCCAGCCCTTTGGTATCGCAGTCGGCTATGCGAAAAATATAAAATTTTAATTTAGTAGTTTTTAATCTCCACCATTTAGCAATTGATACAGAAAGTAAATATTTCTTATAAGCTAAGATTTTCCAATTAAAAAATTACATGTCATTCACCATTCTTTCAACCATTCGACTGCTGATGAAATGAAATAAAATAATAATAATAATAATAAAATATAATGTTAAGTTTTTAATTCTTAAACCACTTGTCGGAAGCTAAATACGACAAAGAAAAATGAATCTTAAAAAAATATTAGGCAAACAGGTAAAAGTGCATGGGGAACCAGAAACTTCATTACAGAATCGAAAAGTATTGCCCCAATGCGCTAACCAACTAGAATATGAAAAGCTTAAACTGATTATATGCTATTTCTAAAGTAATACTGGAGTTATACATCGGAGTATGCTGTTTCTAAGTAATACTGGAGTTACATTTAAACATAAGAGGATAATAACATAGAATTACATACAAAATTACATCAATAACACAAACTGTTAAGTATATTCATTAAATATTGGATTACGTAAATATAGTAAAAGATCATTGCACTGGAAATTTTGAATTTTTTGTAAGTGGATAAATATATGAGATTTTGATTTTTGCTAATATATAAGCAGTCTGATTCTTGTTATGTAAGGATATTTGTTACAGGTAAAACTGTGCTGAGCTCAGATCTTTCAGTCCAAAGTTCAAAAATAAAGTTCGTGGTCTCAGCCCAGTAGGTTCGGTGTTTGGGAGCATTATGAAAATTGTTACTGTTGCACGGAGTCAATTATTGGGTTGTAACCTAGACATTGCTCTTTCCGCTTTTTTATTTTCGATCCTAAAGTGTGACTTGGCATATGTCTAGTCCTAGAGCACTGAGCTTTTGGTATACTTTCATGATTTTTGGATATAAGGTGGCGTTGAGATATCACCAGGCTTTTAAAGTTAAAACCTAGATTGTTGGGTTTCCAATGTGTAGGTCACTTGTGAGAGGGCAGAAGAATAGGTAATGGTCTGTACGTCCTTTGACTTCCCAGACGCAACTGTCGCTAATTGAGAGGTTTCTTTTGAGAAAATAATCTGGATATGGGCCATGACTAAAAACATATTAGAGAGGTCAATCACATTTTATTCACCATAATACGTGTTTATATTAGTTATGACCTATAGAGGTCATTCGACAAAGATGGCAACAGGCTTATTTTATCAAATGATTTGTTCTAAATATATATAGTATGTAAAAAGTACCCGGGGTTTCTCAAAATGGGGCGAGTAGTTTTATAAAAACAGTTTGAATACGGCTCAAATCGTTGAGGAAAAAAATAATAATCAAATAAAAATAAAATGTCCAACACTTTGTATGATCCTTATAAAACAAAATTTCCTATCAGTGAATATTCATGCCTTTTATAATGATTGTCTTTTGCAATATTTTTAATTGCTTACTAATAACTTTTTAATTTCTTTAGAAGTTTTTTCTTTAGTCATATTATTTAATAACTTTTATAATTTCTTTCTGTATAGGTTTAAGGAAAGGTCTCTCCGAAGATAGTAAGTATATTGTATAATTTTTTACTTAATAAAACACATTCACGTGTTTTAAAGAAATATGTTATTTTAATATAATAATACTATAAACATAAACTGTCTTATGCATATAGCATCATTAAAACTGCATTATTATTTTTACACTTGCGTTAAAGTCGGTCTTTATTTTGGTTAGATGAGCATGACTACTTGAGGCTGAACATTATTCTAGTTAGGCGATCATGGCTGCATTAGACTGGACATTGTTGTGGTTAGATGACCATTGCTGCAGCCACATCAATATATAGGAAAAGAAAATCTCCTTAGATACAAAATACTAAAATTCTAAAAATTGCAATATAAACACATGACATTCTGTTTTGGCCTTGTTTATGTTTATCATGTTTTTATGCCGCATGCTTTTATGTAGGAGTTTTCAGAATCAAAGCTTCTTCGGATAGAACGAAAACAAGGGTAACACGTTTTTTTCTTCCTCCCCTTTAAGAATGTTAAGGTCTAATTATTTTTTTTTCTTCGAGCCCAACATTTTTTTCCTAATTAAATTTAAATGGAAATTTTAAAACGAATCCCTTTCAACCGTGTTCAATCAAACTAAAGTGTCCAAATACAGAACCGCATTTTATATTTCTAAAAAATATTAACTCCCACTAGTTCTGTTTATAAAAAACTAATGCATTTAAAAATTCATATTATATAAAATGAATAACAAATTAAAGAAATTAATGAAAGTTATTAACACTTGCATTCATAGCTATACATATCTACTTGTAGTTACAATATGTTAAAATCCTAAAACAATGCTATAAAGTACATAGAATTCTATTTTGGAGTTGCTTATACTTATCTAGTTTTTATGCTAGCTGAAGTTTCAAAATCAAAGTTTTCTTTTTCCTTTGACAGTACGAAAACCAAGGACAAAATTTGCTTCTTCTTCTTTTTTTTTTTTTTTTTTTCTTTTTTTTTTTTTTAATTATTGCTAAATTTTAATTCGTTTCTTCTTCCTTAGTCAGTAAATTCTTTTCAGAATTAAATTTAGATGGAAATTGTTAAACAGAATCCAATTAAACCGTGTTAAATCAAAACTAAGCGAGGAAATGTAGAATCGGATATTTACTGTTGCATAACTTGACACTTTAAGTAACAGCATTTTACGTGCAAATCAATGATAAAGCACACCTTTTTTTCACCTGAAAATCCATAATTCTCGAGTTAAAAAAAGTGTTAAGTACAGGCCTTTTCAAATAAGAAAGTCCCATTACTCAGAAATCAGAGACGCGGGAACATTTTAATAATTATTACGTGTCTTCGTAGAATGACAGTTGTGTGAAACCTTAAATTTTACTTCACAGGTTTCAGTTAAGTTTCATTTGAACACTATAAAATAGCCGACATTATATTTTCTTCTAATTAAAGCCGAAAAAATAGCTGATATTATTATATTCATTTTAGGAATTTCGAAAAGCTTCAGTTGTATCCATGTAATAGGTAATCCAGGTATTCCAGGTATCGAAATTTCTGTCCATAAACAAAACTACTGCCCCATTTTTTTCGAGAAATTTATATAAAAATTTATATTATATAAATTGAATGTAATTATAACTATACATAGTAAAAATGGATAGCTTATACAAATTGTTGTTACGCATTTCTGGTATTTCCAACAAAGTATGTGTAAAATATAAATCATAGATCTAACTTCTAAGTTTTTAATCACTGCAACTTTGCAATTCATACAAATATGTAAAATCTTCTATAATAAAATTTACTGAAGCAACATTATACGCTATTCATCATTATGTTATCATCATTATGTTTCATATTTCATTTGAAGAAATTTAAAAAATATATAAGATAAATGTTCACTTCCTAATTCCTTAAACGCTTGTAAGTTACGTACGATTGCAAAGAGTGAAATGTTTCTTAAAAAAATATCAGAAAGCTCAATCACGTTTTGTCCGTAATAATATGTGTTTTTCTTAGTTATAATCTATCATTCCGTGAATCAAGCAGCAGACATATTTTCTTAAGTGGTTGGTTCTAGACATAACCTTCTAGTTTCAAAATTTCTCAAAATAGAACTCATAATTTTATGAAAATAGTTCCTATTCGGTTCATTGTGTGTGTGTGGGGGGGGGGGGAATTACGTAAATAAATACAAATAAAATTTCCAACATTTTATATGATCCTTATAGCACAAAATTCCCAGTCAGTGAAATATTCATGCATTTTATAATTATTGTCTTTTGCTATATTTCTACTTGTTTGCTAATAAATAATTTCTTTTAATAGTTTTAAAGTTTTTTTTTAAGTCACACTTTTTAATGTAATATTTTTCTTTTTTATAGCGAAACGAAATTTCTCTCCCAAAGGTAAGTATATTGCATTATTTTTCAGCAAACATGGGTAAATTAGGGCCGCCGTAAGGCTGTTTTCGTCTTTCAGGTAAAGCAGATTTTGCAACCAGACTTTGCAAGATACTTAAAAAAACTTCCACATGTTTACAGAAAATATTTTATTTAAATGCAATAATACTCTAAACATAAAGTGTTCTACTTATATAACATCGTTAATTCTATACTTTTATTCTTATAACTTTGTTAAAGTCGGTCTTTGTTTTGGTTAGATGGGCATGTCTTCGCGGGGCCGAATATTATTCTGGTTCGGCGGTCATGGTTCCTGAAGGTTGGTCATAGTTCTGGTTAAGTGCCTATTGCTACTATCACATCAACATACATGGAAAATGCTATCTACATTTAGTTACAAAATACTGAATTTGTAAATTAACGATATAAATACATGTCATTCTGATTTGGCCTTCTTTATGTTTATCGTGTTTTAATGCTAGTGGCAAGTTTCAAGATCAAAGATTCCTACGACAGTATAAAAACAAGGGTGACGACTTTTATATTTTTCATTTATTTATTAATTTTTTAAAGATATTTTAAATTCTGTTTGTTCTTCTTTTGGCAGTAATCATTTTCGGAACTAAATTTAGGTAGAAATTGGTACAAAAAAATCATTTTAAACCTTGTTAAATCAAAATGAAGCGTGCAAATATCGAATCGGGTTTTTATTCCTAAAATATTAAATCAAAGTAGCGTAAAAAATCTGTTTATAAAGAAAATCAGTGATACATTTGGGGAAGAATGCTATGTAAAAATTCATACTATAAAAACCTGAATAACTGATTAAGAAAATTAATGAAAGAAATTAATACCTATATTCATACCTATACGCAGCAAACATGTGACGTCTTTACAAATATTACTGATGTATGTTTCAAAAAGAGTGTTTTTAATGCAGCTGAAAGCTTCGCTTCTGATCTCTTTATGGCTACACTTATTGTTCTGTTATATACCGAATAAATAAATTTAAAAAAATGAAATTCTAAATTAATATGCATATTCCTACAATTTTAATAATTATTTTATGTTTTTCTAGAATGACAGTTTGAAGTGCGTAAAACTTTGTTCTTTACCTAACAGGTTTTAATTAAGCTACATTTTATGCATTCGAACGCTGAAAATAACTGATATTACTTTTTCATTTGATTAACGACAAAAAGTAGCGAATATTATTATTTTCATTATACTACTTATACTAAGGACATTAGAGATATCTAAGTATTACTAATAAAAATTTTAATGAGCATTGGGGGCTTCTCATTTTTAATTGTAATTTCAGTTTATAAACAGAACCAATGCTGTTTTCGGAGAATTTTATTTAAAAAATTATATTACATGAATTGAGAAACAAATTTTTGAAATAATTTAAAGTTATGAATACCATTATTGATAAGGTATACATTGTAAAATTATATGTTTATACTTCTTGATCTGATGCATTTCGGGTATTTACAAAAATGTATGTGTAAAATAGGAAACTGAAAATCTTAATTTGTTATGCATTAATCACCACGACTTAGCAACTCATACAGAAATGGAATATTCTATATAAGATAATAAAATTTGCCGAATAAAAAATCATTCAACATTCTTTTATCAGTTCGGAGTGAATTTGAAGAAAAATTAAAATATATGATAATTTTCAGTTTCCCAGCTGTTAAAACTTGCCGGAAATTCAGTACGAAAGCGAAAACTGAATGTTTCTTAGAAGAATATCAGAGAGATTATCCACGTTTTAATCATAATACTAATATTCCTTTTTATTAGTTATGACGAATTATTCAAGAAAGATATTAGCAGGCTTGTTTTCTTAAATGTTTTATTCTAGACATATAGTTCCAATTTCAGAATTTCTCAAAATGGAGCGCCCGATTTTATGAAAGCAATTTAAATGCGGCTCAAAGGATTGTGTAAAAAGGTTGTTTATTTTTAATGAAGAAAGAAAAATAAAACTTTTAACGCTTTATGTGATCCGTATAAGACAAAATTTCTACTCACTAAAATATTCATGCATTTTGTAACTATTTTGCGATATTTTTAATAGTTTTCTGATAGGTTATTCCTTTTAATAGTTTAAAAGTATTTTCTTTAGTCACATTGTTTAACATCACTATTTTTTTTTTTTTTTTTTAAATATAACCCCAGGAAATGGTCTGCTATGTAAGTACATTGCATTATTTTTATATTTTCTGGAAACATGTGGAAACTAAACCACAATAAAGCTATTTGCTCCTTTCAGACAAATTTTGCAGCATTAATAATTAATACGTAATAAAGAATATTGACATGTTTTAAAACAAATATTTTATTAGTGTAATAATACTACAAGTGTAAAGAATCGTATGTATGTAACTTCATTATAATATTCTTATGCCTTTGTTAATGTCGGTCTTTGTATTGATTTTATGAGCATGACTGTGTAAAGGGGGCTGTGAAAGAAGGGCTTTTTTTTTTTTTTTTTTTTTACGTTGTATAATTCTTACTATTTTCTTCTTTTCTGAGCAGTAAATTGTTTTCAAAATTAAATTTAAATCGAAGTTATTAAAAGGAATAACTTTCATCTGTGTTAAATCAAAATAAAGAATGGAAATACAGAATAGGATTTTTATTTCTAAAAAATATTATATCATAATGGAAAGAAAAATTATGTTTATAAACAAATCTAAAGTTTGCAAAAATTCGTATCATATAATCTGAATAAGAAATTAAGGAAATTAATGAAAGTTTTTAATATTTATATTCATAATTAGACATAGTAAACATAAACTAAACGTTTATACAAATAATTATAAACATATATTTTAATAAGAGTGTATTTAATGACAACTGAAAGCATTCCATATTCATGGCTATATTTATTCTTCTGTTATATACCGAATAAATAAATTTAAAAACATTTAAGTTATAAGGTATTTCTCCCGCCTTCTTAGTGAGCTTTCGTGGTGTAGTGGTCTGCACGCTCAGCGGGTAATTGAGAGGTCCATGGTTCGATTCCCGGCAAAGGCATTGCATATTTTTCAATCTCTCTTGCTTCTAAAAAATACCTAATGTCTCTACAGTGGCGCCCGAACTAAAAAAGGGTGTTGGATGATAATTCTCCTCACCCATGATTTGGCATTTGGGTCCCCTAAAAAAAACCCCAGTCGCCCTTTAAAAGGGGGAGTATTTTTATTTGTAAGATCTGTTTATGCGCAAAACTAATGCCACATTTTATGGGGAAAATTTATGTAAAATTTTTAATAAACTAAGTAACAAAATTAGGAAATTAATAAAAGTTTTTGGTACCTCTATTCATAACTATACTCAGTAAAAATATAACATTAATATAATATGTCTTGATGCATTTCGCGGATTTACCTCAATGTTTGTGGGAAATATAAAGCTGAAGATTTTAATTTCTTATTTTCGATTCACTAGAAGTTAGTAACTGATACAGAAAGGTAATATTGAGATAGTAAGATTTGCTGAATCAGAATACATGCCCTCCCCCATTCTTCTATTAATTGAGTAAATGATAATATTCAGTTCCTAGTTCTTAAACCACCTGTCAGAAGTTAGTACAAAAGCGGGAACTGAACTTTTTAAAAGTACAGGGTGATCTTTTTTAAAGTGACAGTGTTTGGAGCGCCCTGTAGCGCGAATTAATAGCCGAAATGGCACCAAACTTGGTATTTCGTCTAATCAAGACATGGGACATCAAGACATACAATCGTACAGTTAAATTATTAATGTTTATTTACTATATTAACTTCCTCTGTGAGGAATTAAACCACATTCAATGTGAGCACCGTTCTCAGAATTAACACCGTGCATTCTGTGCACAACATTCTCCACAGCCGTATGTAACATATCACGAGGAATATTCTGCACTGTTTGTGTTATGTTGTCCTTTAGAATAGACAAATTTGATACTCCACCAACATAAACTTGAGATTTTAAATAACCCCAGAGCCAAAAATCACATGGCGTGAGGTCAGGGGAACGAGGCGGCCATGCAACTGGAAAACTGCGACTTATGACTATCTATCATTAGTGAAGTTTTGGCGCAACAGCTGCTTTACCTTATTACTAATGTATAGGCGGAGCACCATCCTGCATAAATATTGTCTGTGGGAGACGGTTTCTTTGCTGAAGTTGTGGAATAACAAACGTTTGTAGCATTTCGTAGTACCTTTCTGCATTTATGGTGCACGTTTGGGGTCCTGTCGGAGTCATGGTCTCAAAAAGGAATGGCCCAATTACGAATTCGGCTGTGAAACCACACCAAACAGTGACTTTTGGAAAATTTAATAGGATTTCGTGCACGGTGTGGGGCTGCTTAGAAGCCCAAATTCGGCTATTTTGTGTGTTTACGGACCCACTGAGATAAAAATGGCACTCATCTCCCCCACAGAATGTGCCATAGAAAAGCATCATCAATTTCTACCCTGGCAAGAAACGATAGAGCGAATGTCACTGGCTTATCATAATCACTTGGTTTCAGTACGTGCAAGCGGCTGATTTTGTAGGGGTAAAATCCAATAACGCTCCGCAAAATTCTCCATACCGTGGAATAATTCATGTCCAATTGTCGAGCTACACCTCGGGCGCTGCTAGTACTAGCAATGGTTCCCTGCGATCCTTCGACAATTGCAGTTGCCACGTCAGTTATTACATCTTCTGATACTGGTTTACGTCCTCTCCCAGCGCGAATGGTCAGTGACCCCGTTTCCTCGAACTTCTTAATCATTTTCTTAAGACCATTCAGCGATAAAGGTTCCTTTCGTAATTTTTTTCTGGTTCGAAATTCCCCAAGAGCTGCGGATGCATTACATTGATTCATGTAATACAGCTTCACCAGTAACGCACGTTCCGGTAACGTGAGAGGCTATAGCAGAGGTTACTTGTAAGCTACAGCAGCGCCCCAAAATCCCATAGCGGCGATTTATGGAACTAAAAGTTTTTTTTCACGGAATCATTTTCCC